AACTTATGTAATCACATATTTTTGCGTTTAGTTATCAATGTCATGGAATATTGAATGAGGTGAAAAAATCGAATAGATATTTACGTAAACTCTATAAGATTAAACCATGGAACAAAACTCAGAGGACAATCTTTTGGAGATAATGGACTTGGCACGCACTTTGCGCCAAGAACAACTATTCATACAGCAGGAACAGGCGGCCTTCGGTCAATTCACTGAATCATTGTCTGAGAACTCGACGGCCATAACAAAGGTAAATTGCAAATTTCATAGTTTTTTTACGTCTTTGTCCTTTACTCTTTCCTTTCTTTACAATTCATATTTACAGTTGGCTTACATTTGCGCTCAACAAAGGCAAAATCTTAACGATTTAATCACGTCACGTCCGGAGGTCGGCCCCAGTATTTGCTGTCGACGTGCAAAAAACTACGAAAATGCTAAGTATATAGATGCCAAGAAAGTACTGGACTATGAGGTGAATACTGCATATACATATTATAATCATATTATTTTTTGTCAGCTTATTTATTTATGTACTTATTATTGAAATGCTTTTAATGCTCTATTTCGCTGCAGCATGCCATTTCCTACGAAGAACTGTTTAATCACCTCTATCGCTCACCTTATCTGCTTGCACTTTCACTGGCCACCGGCGATCGCATTGCCGAGATAACACCGCAGCACCTTTGCTATGTCATACACACCATTTCGGCAGGCCTTTATGGTAATGCCATTAACACAAAGGATGTGGAAATGATTTTAAAACTACTAAGGGAACTTATAGAAATTCAAATTGTCGTTAGTGAAAATCCACGTAATTTGCTCCGTGCAAATTCATCGGCATTTGCGCGTCTTTATCATCGCTTAAATGAGTCAATGTTTTCGGCAAAAATCTTTCTTACGGCAGCATTATTTGAACCAATAATGGGTGTGTTGAGTGATATTGATAGCGTATTAGATGTGGATCCCAGTAAAGTGGTGGAGAACTTTAGCAGTAAAGAGCGCTTGAAAAGGTAAAATAAGTCATTTGAAGATTTAAAAGAAAAATTAAAAATAAGCCAAAAGAAGACTTTTATAAATTTTTGTATACATACATTAAAGCTTTTAATCATGCCATAGTTTGCTTACTCCATAAATTTTGTTTGGCTTTTTAATTAACTGTAGCTTTTTACAAGCTTTTAAGTTTCGCCTATATGTAATCAAATCTTGCAATCAATTTTTTACCAACTTACCGATTAGTTAGATACTTAAAATTACGAACTTAGTTCAGAACCGAAAAAAGAAAAGATGAATCAATCCTCCAGGTGGCGCGGTGTTGAGATATTTGAATAAGCCGTATTTATGGTCCGATTGGTTTCATACTTAGAAAAGATTTTACTTAAGTGGAAAGAAAAACTCCACACAAATTTAACCGTTTGATGGTGCGTGGTCTATATAATTTCGAAATTTGAGTTAGTTTGTACCTAGGTGTGAGATAAGCGAAAACGATTTTTTTCTTTTTTCATCAACTAAAAAAGCTTATCGTTAAATTTTTACTTTTTATAATAGTGTTATCGAGCGTTGTACCACGATTTGTTTGTTAGGAAAAATGGAAAAAACAACAAAGCTTAAACGTTAGAAGTTACGGCAGCTATTTTTATTTTTTAATTACTTGTTTTTGTTCTACATTTTCAAATTCAAAATTTATGTTTAGATTTGGCGCTGAAGACTCGAATGACTACCAAGATAACGTCAATAAATTCCACCATAACACCATAACTAAGCTTCATGCTTTGGCAAAATCATTTATTGACAGCCTAGCTTTTAATTGGTCTTTGTTCCCGTCGACACTCCGCTGGCTGGTGCAGACAATGTCACATCAACTAAAGCAGTCACACTTCTCCGATAAGATCATAAACGAAATAATCACGGATATGGTTTTCACGCATTTTATTTGCCCAGCTATAGTTAGTCCAGATATAATGGGCATCATCGATGCGCCCATACCCGAGCAGGTGCGCTTCAATCTGATACAAATCGGGCAAATTATACAAATGCTTGCTTTAGCCAAACACGATGATATCGATGCGAAATTCGCTCAGATTTATACAAAGTTCGAAGCAAATAGTGTTTCAAATTTAATCGATTTGCTCCTAATGAGTCAATCAGGCGAAGATGTAGTTGCTATACTATCGCAACAAAGTGACTTCGATCGTTCACGTTTGCTGAGCACGCAAAGTGAGCTTGCTTATTTTGTAGAATTTTATCGCATCCTTATGGCTAATGATGAATTTGATCCGCCACCTGAAGATCGTCAGAAGTTGCAAAAAATACTTTCACACTTGCCGGAATCTAAAGAGGCTGGTGAACGTTTACAGTCAAGTAGTGCCGATGCCGCCGGTTCATTGCCAGTCAATGGAGAAACGGGTAGCCTTAAAGAGCGCTCCAAGCAAGGTTTCATGGGTTTGAGTAAGGCGACTAAGAGTAAGATTGCCAAGAGTATGAGCTTTAATACGAACAATACTGTAACGCAACCAGTAACCGACGGAGCAGCATCGGCATCCGCCAATGTTAATGGGCTGATGAATGGTGGTGTTCATGCATCCAGCATGGGCCAAGGTAGGTTGCATATTTTTTATTTATTTATGTAGTTATTTTAATTTTTTTCTTGCTAACGATCATATTTGCAGTACTAAAAAAGAGGATAACTTTCTACAAACGTAATGAAAAAAAAAAATCGTTTATGTATTTTTGAACCGCACAATAGGCTAGAAGCGTTAATAAGTTCACAATCACTCATAACCTGAAATAATTATAGAAATGTATCTCTCATATTAGTTAGTATTATTACTAATCTTTCACTTTGTATTTCAATTAGGGCCGTTAACTTACCTTTTTTAAGGTATGTTTAAATCATTAGTTAAACTTATATAGAAATTTTTGTAGTTAAGTTTTAAACGGTTTAACTATATTCCTTAAAATTGAGAAGTTAAGAGCCGTTAGTCTTATTTTCTTAACGATAAAAATGTGTCGTCATTATTCAACAACATTCATCAGAACACTTTCCTACAGCTTACCTACACGATAATCATCATCCAAACAACGGCAGTGCCGCTGCATCGTCAAACACATCAATGAGCTCTAATAGTTCATCCCCTATACGCGCAATACCATCAAATGATGTTCTTGAAAATGAGCCCATACTTGTCTTCAGTATTTACAATGGCGATGAACACAAATTACAACCGCTTACTGAAGAGGAAGTTCTGAAAATGAATTGCATTGGTCAGGATATTTCGAATGGCGAAGTACTCTTAGTCGATACGGGCAGCGTTAATTTAGATAATACCATCGACAAGTCGTCCTCAGTCGCTAACGGCTTTGATGGCATGGACAATATGAGCGACGTATTGCGTCCGTTGCATTCGAAAACAACGCGCTTTTCACTATCGCATGACGATGCCTCCATTGGCAATTCGGACAATCTAGAAGCGGTTAGCGAGGCGCCATCAAATCATTCTGTTACCAGTTCACTGGAGTTAGAAGAAGAGAATGATCAAAACGATAATCTCTCCGATATGGTGTCGGCAAATGTGTCCGGTCGTGGCACACCAAATATCAGTGGCCGTGATACTCCCTCATCTCAAGTAACTGATGGTGAGTCAGTGCACAATGCACTGCCTACACCACAGATGCAAAAACTTATATCTAAAGCACGTTCCGATATTGAAGACAAGTTTTGTAAATTCGAAATAAAAAAATTTGAAGGTGATGAAACAGTGTCTATCATATCGGACACTTGGTCAACTGACGTACTGGCGAGTGATTCCGAAACGGTGGATGCCACTGAACGTGAACGGGATCGCAACTTCTCCACGCCGCTTATTCCATCAGCAGTGGTCTTACCAGGAGACAATAATTTTGATGTACTTGCTAGCGCGGGAGCAATGCGTCCTGCCTTTCTAGATGTTTCCGATCAACGATCCGAGTCCAATTGGAGCACCGATGTATTGGCCAGTGACTCTGAAAAATTTGCAGAGGTAGATACGGACGATAATGTGAGCATTACCGCCAAGTCGGATATAACAGATTCGGGAGCACGATCAGAGCAAGAGCGGGATCAGCTGGCAGCCGCCATATCTGCACCACAGCCCACGCGCCGCACTTCGAATTCCCCGCATTATTCGGCACGTACAGGAAGGGGTTTTCGTACCTCCACCGCAGGCATTTACAACAGCCCAATAAGTGGCAACAGTGGCAGCCCAGCGCTTGGTGGATGCATAAATAGAGTGGTCGCCCCTATTCGTAAAGAAGGTAATGCAGACGTCAGTGGCGGAGTTGGTGGTGGCAGCCATGGCAGTGGGAGCAGCGATCACTCCCAAGATGACTCTGCCTTTTATGATGCAGCGAATTTGTATGACGAAGCAGCAGCTGCGGTTAAAGTCGAGCAAGATGCCGCAGATAGTGCACCTTACGGGGGACTTTCATCTTTGGCACGTAGCTCTGTACGCACAAGCTATCAGTATAGCGGCGAAAATAATTTCCAACAAGAATACAAAAGTAGTAGTTGTAATTCCGATAGCAAAGAAACATTTTTGGGTGCGCCACACATGCGCCGTCAAACATCAGCTGAGAGCAGCATCTCAAATCAGAGTGTAACATTTGAAGATGCAGCAAGTGCTGCGTGTGCCACTGCGAGCAAACCGCCCAAGCCTCATCATAAGAGTGGTATGAAAAAGAAGAAGCAACATAATAATAACGCCCCGACTTTGCTTAACAGCAGTCCGAAAGACCTTATTGATTTCAGTGACTTTGGTGAAGAGGAAAAACCCTCTCTACCCTCAAGGGAGCCACCACTGGTAGATTTGTTTGGCGAAGAAAATGTTGAACATCGCCACACAACAAGTGAGGCACGAAACGCAGGCTTCGATGGCCGGCGCAATGGCATAATGGCGATGACACCTGGAGAGCAGACCGAATCAGCTGGCGTCCATAGCTCTGTACCAGTTATGCGCCGTCATCAAAGTCTTAATTATGAAAATCATGAAATTATGATCAGCAATGTTGTGAATGCTTCGAAGCGAGTAACAATGATACCAACTGTATCACAAACGGACGACGACAAAAGTCAACAACAAGAGCAGATAATGCTGCTGTGCGTGAAGACAGAGAAACTGCAGCTACACGATGCGGACTCTAGCTCTAAGGAATGTGCCACCAATCCCTCTACTTCACGTGCCATCCTATCGAATAGCTTGAGCGGTGCTGCAGTTAGCATGAGCAGCTGCCAGAAACCCACAAAATCCACGGGAGCTATACCGAAAAGCATTAGTTTCGACGCTTCGGCCGATAAGAACAGCAGTAGTCATAATGACAGTGGCGCAATAGCAAGCACAAGTACTGTTGTCGCCGGCCGTCATCTGCCCTCTCATCGCAATGCTCGCGTCTTATATCCCAATTTGGGCTCGCACACCTCTAGTGCCAATAACCATTCTGGTATATTTAACAAATTGAAGCAAGGTATTTTCAAGCACAGACGTGGTAACAAATCGCATTCACGTCATTCTTCAAATCTGCATAACGGCATCGAAAATACAGTTGATGGAGTAGCAGGTGGCGACTACACGCCACACACGACCAGCAATCGCAGTGTTTCGTTCAGCGCTAATACATCGGAAATATCGCTCGAAGTGATTGGTGTTGGCAGTAGTTCGGATGGTGCCCGCAACACGCCCTTAACTGGCGCAGAAGGCGGTGGTGCTGGTGGCATGACAGCGAATTATTGCGATATGAGTGAGGATATATTGGCGAAGTATCGGCGTAAGGTGAGCAGCTCAAGTGAGGCGACGAACTCGGATTCGATGGGCAATTGCTTAGCTGGCGCGGCGGCTGCCTCATCTACAAATGATTGCAAACATTCCGATGTGGAGCCGAAGTGAGTAAAACTAACAATTTTCTTTCGTTCTGAATCGTCCATAGGATTCAATGAATTTAATTTTAGATCGCCGAGTGCTCTACTGCATGACAAAACGCTCGCTTTTAATGTGATTAAGAAGAAAATACGGACCGTGTTGTCAAAGACTGATTTACATACCGGCGATTTTCGCCATACCACGGTAAGCAGTCTCGCATATTTAAAAAGCTTGCATCAGGGCATGTCACTTATATCTATTCACTTTTTACACTTTGTTTTAGTACACTAACGCCTCGCCCTTGCTCACATATCTGCAAATACAGCTCGCACAAGCGCTAAATTTGCAAAATTTCCAACAAATCTCTTACGTCTCAGAGGCGATACGTTGCATTTCCACACTCGAACGCAGTCAACACACACAATTACTCGAAGAACTACAGCAGGACATACAAAAGCGTCAGAACTACTTACAGTATTTAATGAGATATCGTCAAAATCTACTCTTAATGATGGAGAATATCGAACAGTTCGAAACGCGTTTGCGCAGCGAAAGTGCCACCTGCAATCGTTATTTAATGACCGTTTGTGTGCGTCTATTCTTTGAGAAACGTCAGGCAAAGGTAGCAGAATTTCAAGAGGAGTTTGCCCGTCTTACAGTTTCTGATGACAAGATTGAACTTATCGAGGAATTTATTGATGGTTTAATGGAGGAATTACTCATGGCAGGAGGCATACTGCATGGCATGCCAGAATGGCAGGCGCAAGAAGCGCGTTTATCAATTGAACGTATACTACTGACTCTCCTTTACCAGCAGGTGATGTTTCCAAATGAAGATGCCGACCTGTCGCGTGACACGTAAGTGACGGCTGAAGTTATATGAAGTGTGCTGTAATGTAAAATTTTTGTATCCAAATGCAGTGTACTCTCAGAGCATATAGCGAAGCTGCAGCGTGTCATTAGCCCTGCACATCCGGCTCTTTGCATTCCTCAAGTATACCTTTCCGAAGCACCTTGGTCTTTTGCACAGCAACAGCTCTCGTATATCTCAGCATATAAAACGCCCCGTGAAAAATTGCAATGTGTGATAAGGTAAACGTGATTTTTTGTTTGTTTTGTAAATGGCTAACAAAATTGAAGCATTAGAAAATTAATGTTACACATATACATACTTATGCCAGGGTCATGTATTGATAACTCAGTTTTAACTTAAAGTTGGTTTAAAATATAGCAAAATTGGATGAAAAAATCGGTATTTCTGCTCAAAATAACAAAAGTAAAACGGTACGGTCTCTGCATTTACTTTCTTTGGTATGAAAGTTAGTCAAGTACATTTAACGAGTCAAATTCACTTAAAAAGTGTGTAAAACATTTTTCAATACTGTGTTGTATTACTCATGTCTCATTTCATTTTTTTTTTTATAAATATACCACACTTTCTTAATTGCAGATGTATTTCGAGCATTATGAGTCTTTTACATATGTCGAGTGGTCGTGTGCCAGCTGCTGATGATATTTTGCCGGTATTAATTTATGTTGTGATCATGGTAAGTACTTAATATCGTTTAACAATAATACGTTTTTTTTTGTTTAAATACCTTCGCTATTTGCTCCCTAGACAAATCCACCATTTTTGTTGTCAACAGTTGAGTATATAACCTGCTTTATCGGCGATAAATTAGAGGGTGAAGAACAATTCCATTGGACACTCTTTGGTTCTGTAGTAAAGTTTATAAAAACAATGGACTATTTGGATTAAGCGAATTCTTACAAAGAAGCATCGTAGCTTTTAACTAGGTTTCCATTTAACATTTGTTGGTGTGTAGTTTTTGTACCTATAAACTCAAATTGCAGCATTTTTCTATTTCAAGTTATGGTTTTAATTATAAAATTATCGTCTCAACTGATCGAAAACGACTGATCGAAATCAAGAACATCATAAAGCAATATTAGTGAAAAAAAACAAAGCTTTTCCGAACGAAATGCGCGCAAGTTTATTATTGTTGAACTGTTAAGATTACTTCTGTTATATCTGCACTATATACATAACGCAACTAGTTTAAAAAATGTTTTATATGATTTAAGTATCGATTGTGTCGAAATGTAAATTACAATTTTTTAAGGTATAGATTTGGGGTAAGTTCCTTTTGATGTTTTGTTTTTTGTGCGGTAACTGTAAGTATATGTAGTTTTTGCGAATCTGCACGAGGAGTATAATGCGATGTAAATAATTGATAAATATGGAATTATGTTAATATAAATATGTTTTGTTATGCAAACTAAAAATTTAAATAAATCGTATCATATACTTAAATACATACTAACATATACATACATATATATATTTACATGTATAAATATATATACATGCATAAATATAAATAAATATTTTTCGATATTTATTAATACAATATTAATATGTATACAAATACCTTAACTATAGTATATACTCATAAAGCATACTAAAGTAAAAATATATGCATTAGCTCGGTCTATATAATGATGATCAAAAAAAGTATTGAAGAAAAAAAGAAAGAAGCGGGGTGAAAGTAAATTGAAGTACAGAAGTTGAGAATTTTAAATGAATTCTTAACATAATCACTTACTTAACTTTATACATACTATATGAGAGTAGTTTTTAAAACTTCAAAATATAAATAAAGGCACATTTGAAAATATCTTACTTGTCTATGTTACCATTCAGGAGTGCAATAAGCCACTGATTTCAAGGCGGTTTGCGAAGAGGAAATTGTTTTTAAAAAGATATTTTTGATTTCGGATTTGTGCTTGTAAAAACCTCATTGCAAGACAAATCGCGATAGCTGCTTAAAAACGTTCTCGCGGTGAGAAATATTAAATTATTATCGTTATTTACGAAACATTTAAGTGGTAAAATTTTCGAAAAATAAATAAGTCATATCAAACTAACCCCTCAGCAAAAAAGGAGCGTTTTTTAATTTGGCTGGGTTCACAGATCTAAGCAGAATTAGATGGCCGAAACTTACCCTGCCTTTCATCTCCGCTATACCACTTTCTATAATTACCGTGTTAGGAAACCAGCAGCTCTTGGTCCCACACACAGTCTTCCCCGTATGTCACAACAGCCATCAGTCAAATTCAATCCGGCGACTCTCTTCACCACCTGGACGAAGGAGGTCAGGTTTCAACCAGGCATTTACGTCGACGGCACACCAATCCCGACGGTGAACCAGAAAATTTGAAGGGGCTTTCATTCTCGGCGCATACAACCGCAATTGTACAGAGCTGCAACAAGGTCCTCAAGTCGCTCGCCGGCAGCACCCGGGGCAAAGACAAAGAAACGTTGCTGACAAGATACAATTTGGCGGCCGGTTCTGAACTATTCTGCGCCTGGTTTGGTCGCCGGGGACTAGTTGAACACAATGGAAGAAGCTGTAAACTTGTCAGAACGTCGCACCACGGACAACGACAGGTTGCTTTCTGATGTCGCCTGAGCCCCGCCTAATGCTAAATGTAAGGGAGCATACCAAAATGCTCAGCAGGCAATTTCTCTGGTGGGCTGTCACTGCCGCGAGTACCCCAACAGAGCCCTGCTTGAAGAAGAGCCTCCGACCGACATCGATCAGCCACTGGACGAGTAATCAACGGCATTCATAGATGGTCGGTCACCACCTCTCACCTCGACCTATGAATGCCGTGATCGCAGCCTAATCGCCGCCTATTGCAAACGTAGAGCTTCGACTACCACGAGATAACTGCGCTACCTTGGCCCAATTACGGTCAGGGTATTGTAGCCGTCTTAACAGCTACCTGTGCAGACTCGACCCCAATATCGCCAAAAGGTGTCTGGCATGTGGAGACTCCGCGCACGACACCAACCACATCTTCATATGCCAGCTCAATCTCCCTTTATTCCGCCCCCGCCGAAACTGCCCATTTCTTGGGCTATCGTTAGTTAAGCTTGACGACAACGATTGATAAATAAACCAAAATAGGCGGGGCTTAGTACTGCCGCTACAACAACAACATTGGCCGCATGGAAACCATATTACAGAATACATATTTTAATCCTAAGGATTACAGGAAGTTTAGGGGAGCCGTCGGAGGTAATGAGTGCATACGTCTCGTCGCCTCGCTACGGCATCACACTCCAGAAGCAGGTGAAATGTTGTCTTCTCAGCTGAATCGCAGAAACGACGGAGCAGGTCGACTAAATTTCCAGCTTATGCAGATGTCCTAGCGAAGCCAACGTACGCCCGGCATTCGGAGAAACACCCCACGACTCGAGACATCTCTTCGCATGCCCCCTAAACCCCACTCTGCTAACGCCTCTGTCCCGTTAGTTGAGCTTGACGACGATTGAAGGATAAGCCGATCTGGACAGAATTGAATAGCCGCTACAACAACAACATAATGCCTTAAGTGCGGCCTGGCTGTCCCTAAGGATTATTTCGTTACAGTAGCCTCTAAGTAAGTTTACCTCTTCGTCTGCCACCTTAAACCCACACTGCCTTGTCGACCGTTTTTTAACCGACTTCCAAAAAAGGAGGAGGTTATCAGTTCGTCGGAATATTTTTTTTTTAATTTTTTTTTTTTTATGTATGTTACCGCATAACTTTGGACCACGTCAACCGATTTCGATAATTCTTTTTGCATCGGAAAGGTAGTGTCTCAGAGGTGGTCCCATACCATACCTGATCAGTGGATCATGAGACATATATATATATATATTTTTTTTTTATATGGGAGTTGAAGTCGGTTTTTTTTTGCTAAAAATTACTTGTTGCATCTACCATTAGCTGAACTTAACGACAACGATTTATAGACTAGCCGATCTTGGCAGGGCTATAATAATACATCTACAACAACAAGTACTTTTGAACAATTAAGTAATTCATGATTTATTGAATTCAAAAAACAAAAAAAGATACATATGCATTAACACTTTAACGTACAAAATACTCACACCCAAACTTATTTTATGAATAAGGCCATCAGTCTATTGGATTTTGATCTCATACTTGGCTGCGTCTACTTCCTCGCCATACATTAGATATGAGTTAATGTACATTTGTGAGTAAATCTTAACACCAAGCGTACGCAGATAATCGTAATCGCTGCGCGTCAGTGGCGCTTTCTTCACGTCCACGAAGCAATGCGTAGCATTTTTAGCCGTACTGCACGTATTGAATGGCGACTGCACGGTCATCACATCGCCACGTCCAGCACGTAAAACATTCTTTACAGCTTCCGAATTGCGTTCAGCAATGTGTAGTATAACGCGAAAGCCGCTAAAGGCACCCAACTTTCTTCCATCTGCAGATGTAGTATCGTTGAGCTTCTTACGCCAACGATGTACCGCCGATGCCAAAAGTTGCTCGTCTGGAGTCAGCTGTGGTAAATTTAGCGCTTTACTGTTGCCCCATTCATAGAGTTCCTCGTCGACAAAAACATCTTTTGCGTAACACTCTTCTATATACTTGAGACTGAGCACCCATTTGCCTGATGAAACACAACCAAGCATTTTTTCCCCGCGATTTGGGCGTTCACAGATAAAGTGCGTACAATCAGGGTCAAAATTGACAAGATTCTCAGATACCTGGAGAGATTGGTAACATCAAGCAAAATTAAAAAAAAAATAAATACACAAAAGAGGATCTCAAAAGACTCACTGTTCCGCCTAACGTATGTATCTTGTTAATTATATCGTTGCGCGCATCCTCGTCCACGCATGAGATACTGAAGCGCGGTATGCCTTTGTATTGCATACTGGGCGATGCCTTTGAGCGCCTTTCCTTGCCGAACTCGACAGGATCGCGCCAACCCACCATGTTTTCAGTGCCAACACCAAACTGCTCCGATTCGAAGGGCTGTACGTAATGTTGTGTTTCAGTCTCCGCTGCGCCACATGCCGGCATGTCTGTGTCTATGTTATCTACCATAGTCTCAACACTATCAGAAGCGGCGCCGCTACTTGCATTTCCTAACCCTGTTGCACGACGTGATTGTTTCAAGCTTTGTCTGCGAGACTCACAATTTTTGAGGTACTCAGTAATTTTTTTAAGCTCAGGCGAAGATGTGGCCAGACCAGAAGCTGATCGACTTCCGCTTTGATCTTGCGCGATAATGTTTTGGGTGGCCACATTTGTCACCGTATCTGTTTCAGTATTTTCAAAAGTAATTTTATCAAAGTCTATCGTCGTTTTTCCAAAGCTTGCTTGCTGCACCATACGAGATTCTTCACCACCTAAGCTACTGCCTCTGGTAGGGCTTTGAGTCATAGGCACAAAAGCATCTCCGTCCGAAACGCGTGTAATGCGTCGTTCACTTGTGTTAAGATTGTTGTTCACACCTGTTGTGAAAATGGCGCGAGGTACTACACCTGGTAGTTTCTGATGTGACTCAACCTTGGAGTCGTTAGATTTGCGTGTCGGATTTAAATGCGTATTTGGGGTCTGAGCGGCTAATGCTGATAGTTCAGCTGTTGCGGCCAAAGCTTTCTTAGCAGCCTTGGCACTAGTCGTAGGCGTCTCCTCAGTATCGGTAAAAGGTATGCCTAAAGCCTCGCATGTAGAGCGTAGTACCCGGCGGCGCAGCTCATCGATAGGGGTGTCAATCTTTAGTTTTTTAGTTGGCAAGCGCCAACGCCGTTCCAAAGCATCGGCCATTCGCTTTTGAAATTCGGGAGTAGTACAAAAGTCAGGTATTCCTTTTGGGGTGGGTAGCTTACGATTGATGGGAGTGCATGCCTGTCGGCGAATGCGTTCCAACTCGGGCGTCTGATTATTGCGCATCTCTTCAATTAGTTCGCGGAGACAAGCACGCGCATCTTCGTTGTCCAATTCGGCTACAACACCCTCCAAATATTCAAAATTACAAGACGACCGGCCATATGAGTTTGTAGGCGTATGAGGAGAGTCGGGTGTAATTGGAGTGTTATTCGTCGGTAAATTGGAAGATGGTCGAGAGTTTCGCGAAATGGAGCCTGCCAATTCGGTAACACGTTTATTACGAAGTGGCGTGAATTCATTTGCTGCAGTCACTCCGAGAGTAAGCTTAACCAGGAAAAAGACGTATTATTTACATACATACAAATATGTATAGTATTTAAAAGTATGTATTCTTACATCATTTTCGGCATTTTCTTGCGTGTCCATGGGCTCAACGGAAGCATTCGAAGGCGCACGTGCCGCTGGATTAGGTAAGTTCTTTTCACGCAACGTTGGCGATACAGGAAAGTCTGGTGGACTATTGCCGACTAGGTACGGCTGAAATGATAACTTCTTACCTTCTACAGCGCATTGCACCAGCCAAGCAGAAGTAACGATGGGGTATCCCCATTTGATGGCTCCCTCATATTTTGAACCTTCAGCGCGTGGACAAACTAAAAGAGGGCGTTCTTTTTTAGCAAGTACGCGATTGACAGTGGCACCCAGCAATTGTGCAACGGAATCAATGAAATCATATTCCAAAGCAGTGTAAGTAGAAATAACAATCGTCATGCCTACAAGGGGTTGCGAATTAGCAGTGTGGGGCACGTGGCGATGGAAATACTCTATGGGTACCAGTTTATTCTGCTTCATGCAGTTTTCCTTGAAAGCAATACATGTAGTTAATTTTTTATCGTCAAAAAAGTTCATTGACTTACCACATACAAATCAGTGACAATATGTCGTGCCTTAACGGGTAGGTCGTGTACATTCAATGTACGCTCAAACGAAACAATTGCATAGTCAACGATATCTACGAATGTGGCCGGCACTATGTCCCCATGCGCAGCTTCGCACTCACCCAGCATTTGAGAGTAGAATTCTTCGGGAAAATGTGCGCGATCGATATACAAAGACTTTCCATCGAAAAAGTCCAAATTATCAAAATCAATTTCAGTGTTCATTTTTGTGGAATTTTCATTATCTGCAGACGGATTTGCTGCAGGTTGGGGAATAATATTTGCTAATGGTTTCAAAGTGGATGAAGCCACGGGAGCCGACTGAGTTTGATCGGCTAAATTGTTGTTTGATTTGATTGCTGTTGTTGCAACTGGTACTGCAGCCGCAGGCTCATTTTCTTGGGAGTACTGGGCAATGATATGTTGCTCTTCTTCTTCCAATGGCAAATCGGTAGATTTTGCTGGTGCTGTTACAGATTCAGTCGATTTTTCTTCAGATTCAAAAAGTTTCCTTTTCGGTTTCTCTGGGTGTTTAAAGCTGTGATTCATAGATCGCAATGTCTTTTTGCTGGAAGGCGAAGGCGCATCAGGTTCACGAGTCGTTGGAAGTGACATTCGGTATACAATTTCGCTGGCGGCTTGTTTCAATTTAATGCTTTGAAGTAGCCAATCAAGTCGAACAATGTTTACGGCTAAAAAATAAAAAAAATATACATAATTACAATGACTTATTGAAAAACGAATGCAAAACGATTAAAGAAACAAATTGATTTAAATGTTATAAAGAATTACTAGTGCAAACTATTTTATTACTTGTCAGTATGCCATCACGTTTCCAAGAGCGCAGCTCTCCGTCATCTAGTTGACCCACAATGATGTGTGTGATTTTCTCATTCACAACATCATAACGCGTTGCCCCTCCAACATTTAGAATCCTATTTAATTTTTCTCTCTCTTCAAGTCGAAAACCACTTAAATAAATGCAGCAACCATCTAGAAAATTGCCAGCCTTTTTTGCTTGTTTCGGGCATATTTCCTCGTAGACTAGGCGATAATGTTCTGCAGCGCCCTGTTTCAGATGCACTTCGCGCTGCAAATCCTTGGAAGTAGTTGCACGGGTAACCGGTGCAACAAAAGTACCATCATTTTGTTGTGTTTCATTTACACCACTGCTAATTGTGTCATTGACAGTCGCGAGCTCACTTCGATAATTGCGTCCTGGACCGCCCATTACACTTATACGTGATGTATCCGAAAGGTGAGTGAAATCTGCAATACTGCGATCATCCTTAATCGGAGTAGATACCTTCAGAGACTTAACTTTATAACCCTTCGTTGGAAGTGCAAAGCCTTTTTCTGCACTATCAAATATCCATTCGGGGCAGAGAATTTCTTTTTTGAACTTCACTGCTGCCTTATATTTATCAGAATTTGTGTTTCCACGCGCAGTAATGACTATATCGACAAGCGCTGAACGAAATGCACAGTGGTACGTGCCACCGTTTTCATTTACTAAACGCATTATCTATAAACAAAAAAATCTTTATTTAGCATAGCCTTCGGAAAATAATATTCGGTCTTATCGCGAATTCTATGCGAACAAATAACCCAAAAATTATAAAGCAAACCAAAAACGATTTCAACACAGTTCGCATGATATTAGCGATAAGACTGATTAAGGTACCTCATTTTTTTTCTCCGTGTCCAATCCTGTACATGTTATGTTCGTTCCAAAGAAGATGGGCAGCTTGTACTTTTCAAATTCCTCATCTGTTGCTGAAACATCTTCAACAGAGCTGCGTTCCCAAACGCGCTGTACCCAATCAACATGCATTACAGGAATTCCATTCAAGGATGCATGCTCATATTTTGTAGACTTAATGGTGTTCGAAATTAGATGTGTCACTGGCCGACTAAGGTTCTGGAAGTAATAACCACCCATCCACTGAATGTATGTGCGTACTCTTTCTTTCTGATCTGGGGCAATACCAGTAGCACATATATGCAAGTCCCGCATTGCCGTGGTGTAAATCGGACTTGGGCCAAGGGGCACAGGTAGAGAACTTAGCAAGCAAGTTATAAGACATCGCGGACCAATTATGAGTGACTTTGTTAGCTTGAGTTGCATAAAAAAGTCCCCTTCAAATTTATCGAAGATAAATACATCTTTCTTTGTAAGTTGTCCTGAGGCTATAAGCGGAAACCCCTCGCTTGCCTTTATATGTCTGATGTTCTCTTCCGATATGTGGTCCCGGAGGTGAGTAAATGCTGTTTCCAAATCTTTGCATTTTGATGGGTCTGGATTTTCCACAGTACTTGTGGTGACAAAATATGCATTAATTGTGTCGTCGAAACTCATGAGCAGAACTTTTTTGTATCTGAATGAGATTTCTGAATATGTGCCGCGATTTTTGCGTACGAAGTGATATTTTTTGCAATTCTTGCGCCAAATTGAATTTTCAACTGTCAAATGGAAAAAAGTGTTGTTTGTTTGGGGAAAAATTTGACACTAATCGATTAAACGTACCAATTTGATCATCGAGCTAGGCACGACTACGATAACGGGGAGAGAAATTTTGACCAAAGACGTCGATAGAAGTCCCACGACAGCCGGTTCTACGTACCGGAATGACTCGGGTTTCACCCGACCAAGGGCTGTTGTTTCGGCGATCTAACCCCGTTTAGGTCGGCGAAGTATCTCAGAAGTTGTCCGTCCATAGGGCAGCATTCACTACGCATTCTCCTACTCAGGGCTGGCATCGAGTCAAACCCTGGGCCAGAAATATACACCTGCTGTGTATGCCGAAGACGTTTACACCACAACTCCACCTCAGTCAAGTGTAATGCCTGCGAGGGGTGGAGTCACCTCAGGGTCTGCTCGGGACTACGGACTCACAGACAGTGGACCACGTCGTACGTGGCCCCCTGTTGCTCAAATAGAGCAGCCTCCACGGCAACCCATAGTCCGCCCGTGCAGCCCCACACACTCACACAGCAACCACACACAGTCGCCACAACACAACAACATACCACAGCCACCACAGACCACATAACACACACAACCGCACCACCACCCACACGCCGCCGCCAACAACTCTTGGTTCCCCCTACAATCTGCACGGTATGTCAGACCAGAATATTCCGTAATGTGACATCAGTCAAGTGCAACACCTGCCTTGGCTGGTGCCACTTTAGGGCATGTTCAGGTCTGCGCACCACGCGAGATTGGACGGGGAACTTCGAGGGCCCGTGTTGCGCTGCCCGGTCGCTGGCATCAATTGCGACGCCCCCCAATACCACCACAGGGAGGCAATCACCCCAGCAGCACACACAGCCAACGGCGGCAAGAACTTACACCTCACTCACACCCCACATCACAACACGTCTCCCGAACCACATGAAGCTCCTCCAATTCAACTGTAACGGGCTACAGAGCAAGATTGAGGAGATAACCGCCTTTATGTGTCGGCATGGTATATTAATAGCTGCGGTCCAAGAGACGAAGTTGCACAGCAATTCAACTTTGTTGAATTGTGCCGGGTACAACGTGCACCGTCGAGATCGCGAGCGAGATAATGGTGGTGGCTTAGCGTTCATCACGCACCACACCGTGCAGTATCGTCTTATCGAAGCAGACATCGACCGCAGGGATACCACCCTAGAATGTCAGGGCATCGCTATCCGGTCAAGCGATGTCGAGCTCGAAATATTTAATATATACATACCCCCTGTCACCTGCTGCCCGGCAGGATATCACCCTGATATAGGTGCGCTCCTCAGAGGTGAAAACCGTATGGTAGTAGGTGACTTTAATGCGCACCACGATCTTTGGCACTCAAGCCTGTCAAACGATCGTAGGGGAACAGACTTGGCTGAGCAGATAGACGATTCGACATTCTGCACAATGAACGACGACGCACCCACCAGGATTATGGGTAACTGCAGTAGCTCGCCAGACATCACAATAGTCAGCGCTGGTCTGATAAACAGCATAACGTGGCGACCTATGCTGACTCTAGCATCAGACCATCTACCCATAGTCATCTCGATTGATAAACCAACCGACTTTGCCTCCGCCAAACACCGGACCTATGTCAACTTTTCTAAAGCTGACTGGAAAGGTTACGCGGAGTTTACTGAAAACACCTTCACATCGCTCCCCACACCAACCGACGTCCACCTCGGTGAACGTAAGTTCCGCAGGGCTATCACTGCTGCTGCAGCCCGCTTCATACCGGCAGGGTGCATATCGGACCCACGTCCAAACTTCCCTGCCGAAGCGGCTGTTTTAGCAAACGAGCGTGATAGCCTTCGTCAGGCCGATCCCGGAGATCCCCGTATCAGGGATCTCAACGCGGAGATTCGGCAACTTGTAAACGTACATAAGCGGAAGAAGTGGGAGGAGCATCTGAAGACTTGCAACTTCACCTCTGGTGTGAGCAAGCTTTGGTCAACCGTGAGGTCATTGTCTAATCCGACGAAGCACGACGACAGAGTCGAAATTTCCTTCGGCGACTATGCTTCGTCGGACCCGGAGCGATGCGCGAGCTATTTTAGCCGGCAGTTCATACTGCATCCTCCGGTGGACAAAGCCAAGCGTCGAGTGACCAGAAGGCTGCACAAACTGCCAACAAATTGTGCCCCCCCCTTGCTTTCACTTGCGGTGAAGTTCAGGTGGCCATCGGGAAGGCGAAAGCCTCCAAAGCCATGGGTCCCGACGGTATATGCATGCTGATGCTGAAAAATTTGGGTCCTGCGGGGGTAGCGTACCTAACGGAGGTCCTCAATTTGTCAATGGCCACTCTCATCATCCCAGACATCTGGAAGGTGGGGAGAGTGGTCCCACTGCTCAAACCGGGGAAACCTGCAAACAAAGGAGATTCGTATCGTCCGATTACACTCCTTTCCCCGGTAGCGAAGACACTCGAGGCCTTGCTACTCCCGTACTTCACAAATCACCTGACCCCAGCGAAGCATCAGCATGGTTTCCGTAAAGTGCACAGCACAACAACAGCACTTAACGCCATAAACACTCAGATAACTCGTGGCCTTAACCGTAACCGTCCCTGTGAGAGAACGATTCTAGTAGCGTTGGACTTGTCAAAGGCGTTTGACACCGTCTGCCATTCCACGCTACTAGAAGATATAGAGGCCTCCTCTCTCCCACAGAGGCTCAAACGGTGGTCGGCAAATTATCTAAGTGGTCGACATTCGTCGGTAATGTTCAGAGACAAAACGAGTAAGCAGCGAAAAATAAAACAGGGGGTTCCTCAGGGTGGTGTCCTTTCCCCGCTACTGTTTAACTTTTATATTTCAAAGCTCCCTCAACCACCAGAGGGAGTCTCGATTGTCTCCTATGCCGACGATTGCTCGATTATGGCGACTGGGAATGGAATTGATGACCTGTGTTCGAAAGTAAACGGCTATCTCTCCGAACTTTCTCGCTTCTTCACTGCAAAGTGTCTAGCCCTCTCCCCTACGAAATCCTCCGCGACCCTGTTCACAACCTGGACGAAGGAGGTCAGGCTACCGCTGGGGATTCACGTCGATGACACACCAATTCCGACGGTGAATAACCCCAAAATACTCGGAGTAACATTCGACAGCCTGCTCTCCTTCTCTGCGCACTCAACCGCTATTGTCAATAAAGTACAGAGCCGCAACAAGGTCCTCAAGTCGCTAGCCGGCAGTACTTGGGGCAAAGACAAAGAAACGTTGCTGGCAACATACAAGGCAATAGGCCGGCCGGTTCTGAACTACGCAGCGCCAGTGTGGTCGCCTGGGACTAGTAGGACGCAGTGGACGAAGCTACAGACCGCACAAAACACCGCACTGAGGACAGCGACGGGATGCCTCCTGATGACGCCTGAACACCACCTGCACGGCGAGGCGCAAATGCTCCCGGTGAAGGAGCACAATATAATGCTCTGCAAGCAGTTCCTGATTGGGACCCACAGAAGTGGCCACCCGTGCAGACAGCTGCTTGCAGAGGAGCCCTCGCCTAGGCACGTCAGGAGGCATCTATATGAACTAACGGACGAAGTCCAGAGGTTCATTAAGCAACCTCTGGACCCGACAGCCTACAGACAGGCCTTGAACGGCATTCACAGGGACTCAGTCTCGAGTTATGTAGACTCTAGACCTGTGAATGCCGTTCTAGGCACACCACCCCCGGACATTGACGAGACGGAGCTTCATCTGCCTCGGGAGACGCGCACCACACTTGCACAACTTCGCTCCGGCTACTGCAGCAGGTTAAACTCCTACCTGAGTAGGCTGAATGAGGATGTGCCTAATGAATGTCCGGCATGCGGAGAGACCCCACATGACTCGAAACATCTCTTCGCATGCCCGGCAAACCCGACATCCCTAACGACCTTGTCCTTATGGGCAAACCCCGCAGAAGCTGCACGCTTCCTAGGGTTGCCGTTAGTGGAACTTGACGACAACGACTGAGATACCAACCGATCTGGGCGGGGTTGTTGTAGCCGCTACAACAACAACAACAACAACAATAGAAGTTTTATGCAGCGTTTTTGCTGCATTTAAAATGCAACATTTAGCAGTTTCGAACATATGTTTTCGAAGAGCGTTCATGCTATAGCATTTAGCAAATGTACATTTACGCGAGTTCGAAATCGTATGCTTTTGACAAACAGCCGTGTTCCAGTCTCTTATTTAAAGCCCTACTGAAAAGGAAAAAATAAATTTGAAACCAAAAATTCAATAAAAGACTTGAATTGTTTTAACCATAACCAAACATTTGTTTGTGTATACATATATTCATTTGTCGGTGGTGTCAATTAAAATTTTCTCACTTAATTAGGAAACAAACCAAACAGAGTTGGTCACAAATTGATCCAGATTTCTATCAGCATCACATCGATGTTGAATTTGCTTAACTTTTCTTTATCCAAATATGTAATGTAAAATAAAAGAAATCTCGATCGGCGATCACTGAAACGCAGCTAGCAACTGTATTGTTACGATTATCCTCGAAACCTTGAGGGATTACCCAAATATACTCGGGCTCGTATCGCTGGATTGTTAAATAAATGCAATCGATGACCAAATTGTAGTACAATTAACTTTATTGTACAACAAACAATTTACAATACTCGCTAATACAGTAAAAACACTTTACAATACTTGTTAAAGCAATAACAATGCTTTACTACTTGTTAACACAATTAAACTTATAGCTTGCTTATTCGCCACTCACTTCTCTGCTCACTTTGCTTGTAGCTTGCTGACTTGCAACTAACTCACCTCGTGGTGGCGGCGCCCTTATATACCTGCGCTGGCACTTATGGCAACTCTAGAACATTCTGAAGTTTATCGCTCATTCTCTTTCTCTCGCTGTTCGCAGTGTTCATCCAACTTGACGTTTCTCTTTGTGGAACATTCTACGTCATTCTTCGAACATTCTGCCTATTTCTCGTTGTTCGCTTTGTGTTGCCGCAGTATTCGCCACACTGCCCTCCACCTAAGTCTGATCGTCCCGATCAGACACACTTGCGGTTCCAAACGCTGCAAGCCTTTCCAAGTGGACCACCTTCATCTTGT